GTTGCCAAAGTCATTGCTGAAACTCCCTATTAAATTCTAAGAACATCATTAATCTAGTTCATGAATGAAATCAAATGCAGACAACAGGAAAAACAAGTCAACTATCCAATTAATAATAAGTGGTATAGTTTACTCAGCTCATTTCCCATAGTCTTGCCTAACCAAAATGTCGAAGACAAGAAAAAAAAGGATAATGCCTTTCTATGGATAAATCAAACTCATAAATGTTTTCAGTTGAAAATGTGTTTTTCTCCCCTAGCAGATGAATTTGATGTTTTAAAAAGAGACTCTAATGGCAGTTATTTATCTCATCTCTATTATGTTAACTCAGTTTTTTTCATTTGTAGCATTGTATCTGGTGTTACAGCTGATCAATTACCCTGGATACTATGATGTGAAATTAAACTGCTGGTAGCACTGTGAACACCAACTCTAAAACCAATAAGAGTGTTGAGACTGAACATTGCACTTTATCAAATCCATATTAATAATTTAAATTGGGAATTAAAAGAAAATGGAAATACAATCTCAGTTAAAGTTGGTGACTCATAGATAATGACCATGCCTTTTATATTCTATCACACTTAAAAAATATACATGCATTGTCAACTCTCTCTTAAAACAGAAATCAGTCCTGATATATGTTAAAATAATGACATAATATTTTGGACACAAGATAACTAAGACCATATTTAAACATTCCACTAGAAGGATAATGCCCCACAAATGACCTCATCAAATTGAAGATTCTGCTCTAGTACATGAAGCCACAAACTGGTTACAATGTAAACATGGAATGCCTTCTAGTTGTTGAGATCACTGTTCAAAAAAAAAAACTCGATGTATCATTAAGTTGCCATAACAAAATTACAAGGAAGGTAAACTTTAATGCAAGTCTATCCTGTTACCAAACAGGACAAAGTGTGATCTCTCCACCTCAATTCAACATTCTATTATTAAAAAAAAAAAAAAAAAAACTTGGCAAATGAATATTGCCACAATGTCTTGAGGATCGACCTCTAAAATCACCACCTTGTCTTATTATGGGACAATACAAATATAATAATTTAATTTCCACCTAAAGCAGCTGAAAACAATGGTCATCAGAGAGATGCTGACTGTTACAACTTCCAAGTTAAATTTTCCAGAGAATAATAAAGCCACAAGTTAAAAAAAAAAATGCAAACAACTTACACATACTAATTCATGTTGTTTCACTTGTGATGACACTTCTGGTCATATTCAAGAATGACTTTCATTAATTATTGTAGCCATAGCCTGACTTGAAATGTCAAACATTGATAAGTTTATTTTCTAACTCGACAAAGGGTGATTCAAAGTGAAAGGAAAGGTAAATCTTTATGTGAAAGAGGAAGTGCTTTGCCTTACTGGTAGCAGCATCAGCCAGAAATGTGCTTGGATTACAATATTTGAGTTTAAATTTGGAAGTTTGGAGTGAAAAATACCATTTGTTTACTATTACTGAAAATCACTCTCAAATATTAAGCAGTGCATTGCACTGAGTAGTTTACCTGTAAATGACCCATGATACAGAATGAATATTGTTTTCATTAGGATTTAAAGGTCAAAAGGTAATAACCTCTCCTCCAAAAAAAAAAAAAAAANGTTTTCATTAGGATTTAAAGGTCAAAAGGTAATAACCTCTCCTCCAAAAAAAAAAAAAGACTTAGCCTTCACTGGACATCATTCTAACCAATGTACTTGTCAGGTAAAATGTCGACACCAAATCAACTGTCAAAAGAAAGTACTAGTACATCTAATGCAAAATGCGAATGCTAGATGATTAACTATGCACTGAAATAACAAAAAAATGTCTACCTGGTGAGTCAAACAGTACCATAACAAGACATTATCCTCTGCAAAATTATCTGAAACTCTACTCAGAAGTTTAAAACAAGCAGCACTCAGGCTATACTACTATTGTTCTCTCTATTACTGGCAAACAATATATCAGGCCTATGTTAAACTGTAGCAAATCAGTAAAGTGCTACATCAACTTTGGCAAATTGTCTTGAAGAGCCCTTTATGATTATCACATAAAGGCAGATGTTTATACTACAATAAACATCACTTAAAATAATCTTAACAAAACCCCACAGACACAGTTATAAGAGATTCTTTGGAATCAAATGTCAATATGGAATACGTTCAGTAGTAACTGTAGCTTTCATGACCTCACTCATCATCATCATCGGGACAGTCCCGTGCATAATGTCCAACCTCATTACATCTGTAACACGTAACCCAGTCATAATTGCCGTTCTTCTCTGTGCAGTCACGCTTTAAGTGGCCAGGCTTTCCACAGTTGTAACAGGTCTGACTTTCAAGAGTACAGTCACGGGCAAAGTGACCAGCTTTGTTACACTTGTAGCAGATTGTGTTGTCTTGTTCACAATCTCTAGCAAAATGGCCAGTTTTGCCACAGCGATAGCATTTTACACCACAGTCACGTGCAAAGTGGCCCTCCTTTCCACACTTGTAGCAGGCACTCTCAGACTTGTAGTCATCTCCTCTACTATCAGCCTCTGGGCAATCTCTGGAGAGGTGGCCTTTTTGCCTACAGGTGTAGCACTCCCTACCTGAATCACCACTTGGACAATCTCTTTGGAGGTGACCCTTTTGCCCACAAGTAAAGCATTCAGAATCTGACAATCACAACATCAGTTGTAAATTTCATGGTATGGTTAAGTCTGCATTCTAATCTAGTAGTCTATCAGGCTGGTAGTTCTCTTCCATTTCTGTAGGATAAAGCACCAAGGAGTACTCCACACCCCCGTGGATGAGATGCTAGTCCAACACAGGGTTACCCCACCATTAAATTTGTCAGTACCCATTTCAACCCCTGAGTGGAAAGAGGCAATCTGATGATATTTGAGTGTCTTATCCAAGAACCACAATGGCCCCAGAAAGGGCTCAAAGCCAGACTGCTTGATCCAGAGTCAAACACACTACACATTATGCAACCACACCTCTCACAATGGGCTGTCACAAAACTCCGGCAAATTTTACATGCAGTTTTACGCTAAACCGCAATTAAAAAACAAATTGCAAGTATTATGACAAATCCTAAATGACATTTAATTTTGCTCACTGCACTGTCAGTGTCAGACATTACAACTTCTCAGGTGATTGTCACAACTTAACAATTATCACCTACAGCCTTAGGTTGCTGTACACAGTGTTTCAGCCAGAAAATTTTACTTGAGGGTCACAGTGGCACCTGAAGACCTTTTTTAGGGGCCAATTTTTTAGGAAAGGGGCCAATAAATTGAGAGCTGTAGAAGGAAAAAATGCATCAGGGTACCAAGGAAAATAAAGTCATTTATTAGGATGTATTGTTTTTCTGGGGGCCACCTCTGATTGCAATGCGGGATTCCCACAATGGCGTGGTCTGGCGGAAACACGGTATACATTGTTCCTAGTTTGTATTGGCTGATCAAAAATGGCACTCTTATGATTTTTAGGCTAAGGTAATCTGCAGATGTCTAAGGTAACTTTCAGAGTGATTAGTTTTGTACCTGTCTTTTGTCAACAACCAACCAACCATTTTTTTGCCAACAAATAACAAACAAGTAATAATGGGAATGAAATCCACTCCCTTCTACTTTCTAAGTACAGTAGAACCCCCTTAATACGGTCACCAAACTGGCCACGAAAATTTGGCCATATTAAAGGGGTGGCCGTATTAACAGGGTAGCGTCGTTTCGTGACTGGCCTAAATTGAGCGACGCCTAATTATTACACCTTTAAACAACTTTTCTTTAATAACCATTGGAATGCAGCTATATGCACTTTTTTTAAAAAATGAAACTTCAATCAGTACATACACTATTAACAATGGAAGATGAACATCATTGATTTGAGTGGCTGTATAAACAGGTAAAATTATAAAGGATTATACAAGTTGGGATTTCAGAATGTGGCTGTTGGCCATATTAACAGGGTGGCTGCTTTATGGGGTGTTCTTATGACAAAATGTATGGGGATTTTGCCTCGACAAAAAAGGTGACTGCAATAACAAGGTGACAGTAAGGCAGGGTTCCACTATACTTAAATTTTGAAGAATAAGAAAGGTAATAAGTACAAAAACCATTCTATTGTAGTCCTTTATTGCCATTAAATTTGAAGTCTACTGCGTCAAACCAAAAAATAATAAAGTTAAATTAAGGCTGGTCACGGACTGTCACCTACAAACCCAGGGTGAAAGAAAGCAAAGAGGAGAAAATTCATTGACAAGACTTACCTTTCTTTTTGGGGCAGTTTTTGGAAATGTGCCCAGTTCCCCCACACAAATAACAACTTCTGTCTACAAAAACAAGTAACAATCATTGTCACAATTTACTTCTCGAGGTCTAACTGTTTACAGTTTATGAAAGGACCAAAAAATTCTGATAACACCCTCCCTCCATCTCTACTTGTTTCTAGTTCATGGAGGTACAATAAAATTTCAATAATAAGCTCTCCCCAGGTATCTTGTATGCAGTGGGAAGTTTTATGCACGTATCAAGACATTTGACATTTTGCCTAAGCATTTCAGTTGCTTTCTCTAGAGACCACCCTGCCCCTTAAAGTAACAGAGGTCATTATTTTTCAGTGGGGGGCTTATTATCAGAATTTAATAGTAACTGTAAATGGTGATAATTTTACAGCTTACATGTAGATTTAGTTCAAGAGGCAGAAGGCCTCATTTAAAAGTCAGTCAAAATCACACGCATCAATTTTAACCTTTGTTGTGGTTGACCGTCTAATCATAGAATCATGACGGTGAAACAAACTGCAGCAAGGCCTCCTTGACTTTGCAAAACCCAAGAGTCTAGGGAGACCATGTTCAGACTGAAGGTATTGTTTGTTTGTGATACATAAAGCAGAAATTAGAATTAAATATGAACACGAACAAAAGCTGTACCCTTGAGAGAGTTACTGACATTACCACAGATGGGGTACTGGTACTGTTCAACATAAGGTAACAAACAACCTGCTCCAACACACGCACGCCTCCATAAAGTACGAGCAGGAAATGTTTTGTTAGTGAATCACGAGTAATGCACTTGCTTAATGAATTCTACCTCCTGCCGCGACCAAAGATTGTACTTGAAAATACGTAAGCAAGAGGACAGCTTTGCCTTACTGACAAAGTTGCCGAGAAATTCGTATCAGAACGATTTCATGACAGCTATTTAAATATTTACACTTACTTCCTTAGGAACACGTTTACAACCGAACGTAATTAAGTCTTAAGTAAGCTCAGTACTGGAAAGTGACCTAAGAACCGAATCCCTTGGAGTCAAGCGTTCGTTGTCTGTCTTGCAGTGCCCAGATATCACAAGAAAAACAAATAATGAAAACCAATACAGGTATGAATGAATGAAATCAATCGTTTACGCTTGCCTTCCTCGTGTAACCAAAAACACAATGGCATAGTGGCATCGATGTAGAAAGTGTCTGGTTCTACCCGTTCTAAACCATGTACATATTTTGTAATATTATATGCATACACATTACTGTTTCAGATGAATTTTTTCCAACACCAAAGCCGTTTTAACGCAAGATATATCGTAATGAAAAGGTGATCGACACTCACCTCCAAAGCTGGCCCCACCACTACTATCCGTAGAAGTACATTCTTTGGCAAAATGTCCTGGTTTTCCACATTTGTAGCACTTTGATCTCGAACCCATCGTTAACAAGAGACAGGAATCGAGAATATTATGTCAACTAAGCCTGTAAGAGAAGATTACAGAACGTAGCTTTGTTGGATAACCGTTAAAGGCGGTTCATAAAGTCCAGTATCCGCTGTGTGTGTGAATCCTTGTGAGTATCCGAAGACTGTACGCAACCGTGTTGAACTCGCGGGAAGGAAAGAATTCATGAAGGATTCACAAATTCCCTCATCTGTTAACAGAGCTTAAATGACAAAAATTATGAAAACCTAGAACCTACCAATAATCGAAGAAAGAACGTCTCGTTTCTCTACCCGTGCAACAAAATTATCCACGTGCTTCAAAATGTACAAATACGCCCGAAAGCCTTGTTGGGTAAATGCATTCTCGTCCCCAGTGCTACTCATCTTAAGATGTCCCCGACCACGTGACCAAAAGAAACGGAGGCTCTGGGGACGAGAATGGGGCCAGTGTCCATTCTCGTCCCCAGAGCCTCCGTTTCTTTTGGTCACGTGGTCGGAGAAACGGAGGGTTCTGGTTGGTTCTGGTAGCAGCCATTACCGGATGTCGGTAAATCACGGACATCCGGTAACGCATGCGTAATTTTGGCCTTCATATCTGCTCATGCTCAGAAACTAATCCTGAGGGAGGGGAGAGAGGAATAGAGTGTACTCTTCGGATGTAAACAGATCGGAACATTGACATGTGTTTTCACTTCGCTGTAGTTTAAATAGGTGATTTAAAGTTAAAGAGAGAGTAGAAAGCGGCCTTAAATGCCGTCGCCGCTTCAACCACGATTGCAAGCTTGTCTAATATTTTACCAACGGATTTCGCTGCGCATTTTGTGGTGGACCGTCTAGAAAAATTCAGGGATCGATAGCTGTGTTCTTGTTGTTTCTTCTCTTCATATTCGGTAAAAAGGAGAAGTTTAAAGAGCGAGATGCAGTTGTTAAAGCTTTCAAGCAAAGTAATCAGGATACCACATGTATTACGTCTATCGATGACACGGTGAAATTTGTTTATGGACACACGGAAGCGTTTGTGAAAATCAGCCGTGGAAATTGCATCACTGACCAGAGGATTTAAATATACGCCGTGCTGATAGATAAA